GGATTTTGCTTGTACCTGCTCAAAGCCTGCAAAGTATAAAACATTTAAAATAAAAATGGAGAATAAGCCTGTGCTGTTACAAAGTGGTGTATTCCTATTGGTGGCAAAGGCCTCCATCGCTCAGCTGATGCACTACTGCTCTGAATTTGCCAAGAAATGAGAGATCAGTGTTTCCTTTCAATTTAAGAGGTTGTAAAACTGGCATCAGCTTGGTTCGTTTATTATTAAAATATTAACACTGTTACTGCTGATCATTATACTAGCAATGTATAAATAAAGCATTTAGCTCAGTGGCTGTCTTGATGTTCTATAGGACTATCAGATATTTTAGCATCTTGGTATAATGCAAAAAGAAAAATGGCTTGCATTTGAAAGCTTGTCTAACTACACAGTGGGTCCAATAAAAGATATCACTGGAAGACATCTGTCTTGCAGGGCCATCACTCTTACACTGGTATAATGAAGGCAGTGAAGAAATCATGATGTCACATCAAGTGACACTTCATTTGACTTGTGGTGTCTGAGTTGCCTCTAAAGAGTGATCCACTGGCAGCCCTCCATCTATCTTGTTTTCCTCTTTTTATCTACTTATTTTTAATACAAAAATCTAGGTATACTTTACTGGGAAGAAGTCTCTGCAGATTTTAGTTGGCTCTACCCAAAATCTCTTGAGCACGCATCCCATTTGGACTGCAAACAGCACAGGATGGAGATGGAACTAAGGTCTCGCCTACCCAGTTTTTCAACTGGAATAACCATCTTGGTTAAGGATGTGATTTTATTATGACAGTACAGCTAGTGTAGCCATATTTATAGTGGCAAAAGGTACCTTTTTGATTATGTGATTTCCTTCATCTAGGAAGCTATACAGTACTTCTATAAAATACCTTTTATTACATGTACTGCATTCCCAGTAGGTTGGCATTACAACATTTTAATTTTACTGCTCTAGCTACAGCTGCAAAACTATCTAGTGTAGACATGGCCTCTAATAGATCACCATAAAAATGTAGGTGCTGAGGAAGTAGAACTGTGAATTTGGCAAGAGGTAATCTCAGATCCTCCTTCAGTGACCCAGCTTTGTGTTAAGTTTCACTGTGATGTGGAGGGGTCTTTCAGATGCATCTTGTAACCAGAGTCCTGTTGTGGTTTTCAAGTGATATTCCAGCTGGGTATTTGCATCTGTCTGCCTAAAATTCCTCCTGTGGCTTCAGCTGGATTGAGTAGTTGCTGTATGCAGCATGGAGCTGCTACCCAGGTGTGTGAATTGATCTATTTATATGAAACTAATAAAGCTTGTTACTGCTTTGGGATGTTGGAGTATGAGGTGCTGTAGAAATCAGTTCTTGATCAGAGTTGCTTGGGCTCCATCTTGGTTTCAGTTAGTTAATGGATAATCTGTTGCTCATATGAGATCCTTTTAAGAGACATCAAACTACAGTAAATGGCTGGGCTCTTCTCTGAGGTATTTAATTGAGAAATGAGCTGAAATGTCTTAATATGCCTGAGTATTGCAGAACATAACTAAAACTTTCTCCACTACATATTGTGGTGTTTAGAACAAATTCCGCCTTAACTTTTGACTTTTATCTATGCTTTAAGAGAGATATTTAAAGGGACATCCAATTTAAAAAGAGCTGGTATTTCAAGAGATACCTGTATCTGAAGTGTGTGTCCTTAAACATCACCCCCAACACCAATTTATATTTAACTGTCAGTGCAGCAAGGGAGAACCAGTTACAGGGGGATTGGAAATGGACTGTTATACAAATGCAAAAGGTACTGGGAATCTTCTGATAATTTGTTTGTTGCCATCTTAAATTTCACATGTATTTGGAAGTTTTCTCTTCATTAGCTAAAGGGATATCAGCTTGAGTTGTACTCTAATGGCATTTGAGCAAGTTTATTCAAGATTCAGTCTTTCCTGTCCAGATACAAAAGATGAACCGCTTATTTTCTCTGCCCGCATTTCCTTGAAAAGCCAGATGAGCTGAGGCTTCAATGCTAATGTGAAAGGGAAGGACTAGCAAGCGCTGGAGTCCAAACCTCTAGCATTAAAGCAAACTGGAAAAGTTCTTTCCATATTCTCAGATCAGATTATACCTGGGAAAGGGAACACCAAGGGCAGTGCAAAAGTTCCAGTGCAGCCGCAAGAAACTCCCAAATGGTCCTCTGAGATACAGCAACAGTTCTGTTATCTTCAGCAGCTTTACTGGTGCTCAAAAAGCAAAAGCACCAAAACCTGACACTTCTCAGCTGTGCAGTTAGCTTGGACCAAATCCAGAGCCTACAGCCAGGTGGCAAGGCTGTTCTGGCTTAATGCAGTAGGATGCTAATAAAACTATGCTGTAAACAGGACACTCCACCCTGCCCCAGCTTCTCGTGCACCCTCTTTGTCATGCCTGAAACATTATTTGACAGTCTACAGTCTTTTTTACGCTTGTTCACTTTGACTGGAAGCAGGTCAATGCTTATCTAATCTATAGCTGTAGTCTATAAGGTACAAATCTACCCTTATCCTGCCATCTACTTGACTTTACTCTAAACATGGCTAAACATCTCTTTCTTTGTATCTGACCAGTCCACACCCTTCCCCCATCTTGGGTTTCTGTTGCTTGCAAATGAACCAGACTCTTCCATTACAGATTCTCTGGTAATGGCATTATCCACCTGAGACAAGGAATTGGGACATTGTTGCTTGCAGTGACAGACTCTTCTTCCTCAGGACTTTGGTATCTGTGCAACTTGCTGTGTACCACATATAGCAGTATTTAATGGGGAGACCATGTCCATGCCTATGCTCATTTCATATGTAGGCTGTTGAGGTCACATTAGGAAGGCAAAGGGCTGTTGCTTACCAGTAGCCTGTTTGCAATTGGGTGTGATCAATCATGGATCCAAAGATAATGGCTAAAGTGAAAGAGGATGTTGGGTAGAATTGTACCTAGATTTTTGGGGTTCTCTTGGATATAATAATCTGTGAGGTGGTAGGCCATTCCATAATGGACTGCATTTTTCAGTTCTGCTAGAAATCTGCTAGCTAAAGCTGTGAAACTGTCTAGTGTAGACATGGTGTTTAATAGATAGAAGCAGCTGAAGCTGGACATAATTGAGATCCAGATAAGTCTATAGTGCAGTGATGCAGTGGTCAGAAAGAAAAGCTGCTAACACTAGTGGGTTGTTGAACTGGAATTACGGTAGTGCTCCTCTAAGATTAGTAGAGGCTTGGAGCAGGGGTTATGTGTCCATGTGGCTGCAAGGCCAGTCACAGCAAGGCTTTGATCCTTCTAGCGCTCCTAAATGCTACTGTAGTATAAATAGTCTCTTCCAGCCCTCCCACTTGCCTCTGTGACAAAGTGGCTTTGAGTTCCCCCTGAGAAACAGAAACAAAGTTTCCTTATAAGTACTTTTTAGATGCTATTGGGATTAAGTTGATAGGTAATCTCTTTGGAAACAGCCTTAGTAAACACATGGCAACTATTCCTGACACTTGGAGTGCCACGTGGCAAGGGCTGCAAGGCTTTGTCCCCCAAATCATTTTGTTAACAGAATGCATGTATGAACTTTAACGCTGATTTCTGAAGTGCTGTGTAATTGTTCCTTACTGAGTCCGGGGGGGGCGGGGGGAGTGGTCTATGTAAATGGTTTAGTGAAGAGCTGTCCAAGGCCTCATTGGCATTTTGCCAACAGACCATATGACTGTTTCTTATTTGCATGTTAACTTATATGTTTAATCAAAATTGGATATAGACGCACCCTAACGCTGGCTGGAGTTGGCTTTTTGATAGAATAGGAAAATGCTCATGTGATTCTGGAAATAAAAGCCAGCATTCAATTGTGTCTTCACAGAGCAGTTACTGAAGGAAGCGGACTGTACTGCTTATTTTATCCACTCTTATTATACACATGGAGCACACCTAAGTCGTTTTGGAACAGGAATGTAATCTGCTTGGGTGGGAGTGTGTACATTTAATCCCTCCTGTTTTGGCCCAGAGAAAAATCTGGCATTCTGTACTTTGTGCTGTTGGCATGAAACAGAAGCAGGTCCTGTGTGCGTTGTTAAGGATATAACCTGAACTGGTTTTATTTAAGGAAGCTTTCCTGTCCATCAAAGTTGCAGTTATGCATGTACTGTTGTCTCAATATATGCAGAATGGTTGCCTAATGGACTGAACATAAAACAGCTCTGCCAACAACTAGCTGTCACAATGAGCAAATTCCTTTTTCGTTCTAAAATGGGGATAGGCATGTACTAATCTCATTTATACTTGGGATTTTCCAGTGGAAGGGACTAAAATACTTCATGAATGTCAGGCCTCAGAATGGTCTGTGGACCTAGGTAAACCTTGCCCTTTATATAGATGGGGAGACTGAAGCTTAAACTTGTATGACAACCTAGGTTTGCTGATCAAATGTGCACCAGCCAGTAGAAAGTATTGCTTTGTAGGCTCAGTGACTGTACAATGCAACATAAGTGAAAGCGTTAGAGATCCAGGAATGTTGTGTGGTGACTACATTGAACTCTAAGTTTGATTGGAATGTCTAGTAAGTTGCAAGAAAGCACTTGATCACTGAAATAAAAGGTGCTGTGCTGGAGAAGCAATCTTCCTGTGGGAAATATTAACATGAAGTACTGTAGTACAGGGGGCAGGAGTGAATAAACTGCCCTTCCCTGCTCTTGCTGAGCCATGTAGCTAGCAACTGTGCTGACTCTTACAGCTAACTGAGTAACAGTTCTGAATGGTGCTGGGAAACAGCTGGTCAGAGCAGGTGAGCTTCTACCACCACAGGAGACTAATTAGGAGCAATAGGGCTTCTTTTTCCTCTGGGACCTTCTCTATCCCTATCTGTACATTCTGGTTTCCTTTCTGTGTAATGCTCCTTGAAATGGGTTTTGTCTTGGCAGCACCATTTCAAAATGAAGACCTGGAAGAATGTAGCTATCGTGTTATTGGAGCTTCAATTGTTGTCTTTTTTTTTTTTTCTTTTCCTCTTTGTAGCTAGCGTTCCATGTGCCACTGCTGTTGAAAAGACGTGCCGCACCCGACCGCCCAGAGTGAGGCGCACATCTTCTCTAGATACCATAGTTGGGTCATACCTTGTGGGACAATGGCCACGGGATGCTGATGGAGCCTTTCCTTCCTGCATGAATGACAAAGCTACCCAGGTACAGAGGCTACCTTTGAAGGGTCTGGGATAGGAGGGGGTTATAAACTTCTGGATTGGGTAAATGCATACAGAAATAGGGAAAGATCACGGCAAGCTCAGTCTGTTCAGCTGCAACTTTCTAGGAAGAAGGTTGTCCCCTCCTTTTGCTTCTCGGCCTCATTTCACTCCAATTTGGTGCAGTTAGAATTTCCTCATCCTTGTTTGGAGTCAGATGGCCTCTGGCTCTTCACTTCAGTATTGGCTCATTACAACTTGTATTGCTGGCTTGCAGCTCTGGCCAAATTCTTATATAACACTCACGGGCTCAGTGCCACACACAGTGAAAGTCAAGGGTGCTCCCACAGAAGGGCTTTCTCAGCACGAACACCACAGTGCTGTTCTAGAGAATGGAATGGCTCCAGACCTCGAGGAACTCTTAGCAACCTGTAAATATTACTGTGTGGCAGCAAATGCTGATTCTTCATATGCAGAGGTATAAGAATTCAGGAGAAAAGCATCCATTCACTTACTCAGCCATTTATTTAGCCCATTAAAACTGTCTAACTTGGCGTTTGCTCTTCAGCCATTTATTACTCACTGGGCTTTTTGCAGGAAATTCTCCACCAGGTTTTAAGTTCTATTGTTCTTTGCAAATATATTTTTGCCTGTTGTTGTCTCTTCAGCAACATGCCCATGCCCAGGAGTTCTGCTGGGATTGGAGGGTATGTTAACCCAAAAAGGAAGGCATTCCTTTGCCTTGTGCTTTTAAGCAAGGAGATGAGTGCAGATTGCATTTTCAAGCAGGTGGGTACTAGTAAGGATGCTTCATCCCACAGCATTTAGGCCTTTGTCTGTTCTGTTTTAGTGCCTTTCTCTCATGGGGGTCTAAGATCCTTGTATGTTTCTCTTGGGGCCACATCTGACCCTTTTGTCCAGTGTCAATTTGACCAGTATGATCTCTAAAGAGAATTATACCACATGGGTTAATGGTACCTTCCATGTTGACTGTGCTTGCACTCTGTAAACCAGTGGTTCTCAATGTTTTTGGACTTGAGGTGCCCCTCACTGGACTTCTGTGGGCTCATTGGACTTACTAGCACCCCTCAGTAACTTCTATGAATTGTGGCTATGAATTGTGGCACCCAATTTAAAAAACAAATTACTGCTTACCTGGGGGAGGGGGGAAGGGAAATCAGCCTGGCAGGGACAAGTTCAGGCCTGCAGTTTATCTACTTATCTGCTTATTTCCTCACATCTCATAGCACCTTTTAGAGCAGTGGTTCTCAACCTTTTTTTGTACCAGCACCCATTTGTAAACATCTGTGGCCAGTCCCAACCCAGTCCCCTTACTTGCAACCCACTGCCCCCAGTGTGTGGGGCAGGGAGGTGGGTATATGGAGGGCCCTGAGCAGCCCCTTGCAGGCTGGAACAGCCTGCAGGGGAAGAACCAACATTTCCTACATTTATCTTCTTTAAAGGATAATCCATTTTTAAAGTTTGCTCGTGACCCTTTCCTATGTTCTTGTGATCCACTTTTGGGCTGAGAAATGCTGCTTTAGAGGATCTAGTGGGGCCTCTGGGTTCCCTGGCACCCTGGTTGAGAATTACTGCTATAAACATTTATGAATTGACTTTTATCATAGGACTTCTAAAAGTGACACCTTCACTATTTCATATGTATGGAAACAGCAATAAATTAAGTGTCTTCCCTTGGATCAAGAGCTGAGCTCTCTGGCAGTTCTGAAAATAAAGCCCACGTGTTCTTGCTTCTCACCCTATTCTGACTTCTGATGCATTGCAAGATTACTTGTTCTCCGAGTTGCCAGAGAAGACTTTCTTCATTGTTTTCAGGCATTATGAAATTGCCCATGGGACCTTCTTTGGTAGCCAGGGCATGTCTGCCTTCCTCCTGTACAACCATTGATCAGCTGTTGTGCAAAACGGTCTGCCTGCTTTAGGTGTTTAAACAAGAGGTCACAGCTGCAGGTGCTCAGTGTAGGAGTGAGGATGGCAACAGTATGTGATTGGAGCTTGTGATTTTATCTGTCTTGCTGTGCTAGTGTTTTGCCCCTACTTGCTCTGAGGAAGTGGTTTTGCCATGGTTGGTTTAAAAAAAAAAAAAAGTTCTGTAATTTCCTTCTGTGCTGATGGGCTTGTCCTAGAGATGATAGGCACACGCATGCTCCATCTTTGGGCCTTCCCACTGCTGCAGGTTTCTGTTTTCTTCCTTTTTAGGCTCTGTTCTTCTGGTGCAAGCTTTAGAGTAGTACTAAGGGTTCTGGTCTCAACTGTCTTTTGAGCAGTGGTGGGTATGGTAGCCTAGTGTAGAAAGCTCGACCAACTAAATGAGTGAGGGAGTCTTTGTACTGGAAATCCAGCAGATGAGCAGAAAGCAGGTTCAAGTGGAGTTTTTGGCCTATGACCCTCTAGATGTGCAGAGTTGAGGTCTAATGGTGTCTTGCAAACGACTTGGAATAAATTGCCATTAAACTTCTACTTCAGCCTTCGTTTGAGCATGTGTTCACAAGGTGACTATCGACTCTAAAACTGACTTGTACTAATCCTGGAATTTGTGTTCCTGGCAGCTGCAATTTAAGGTACTCTATAAATTGGTCTGCTGTATTGACTCTGGGCTTGTTCAGCCTTGTGCCCATATGGTCCCTGGCCTTTCTGCAGAGACAACCAACACAGTGGCATCCTGTAGACTTTTTGATGGGGTGGGGAGGGGAGATACAATCCACTAGAATTTAGAGTGATGGAAATCGCCAAAAACCAAACAGTTTCAGTCATCCCAAAGGACAATTTCTTCCACTAATTTGAGATGGCTGAAAGGATCAGACCTACCGACATAATAAGCCTACAAAGGGGGCACTTTGCTTCAGAAACTCCTGGGAAAGCAACTGCCATCCCCATTTAAGTGACACTTGGGGAAAATGCTGTTGCTACTGCTGTTGTATTAAGTTGACCCTTCCTGAAACTGCAAACTTGTTTGTGGAGGGGAGTGGAATCAACCTGCTAAACTCCCAGCAGTTGGTGTCCTGAGGGGTTTAGTTTTAGTGTCTGCTTTTCAGCAGAAAGTTGGAGCACTACCTGCAAGTCAGCTGTATCTAGTTACAAAGCTTAATCTATCAGAAAACTTTCCACCTTTCTCTTGCTTCTCTCAGCCAGAAGGACAAGACTTTTTTTTTTTAAAGCAGCTTTTTGGAAAGAGAAGATTCTGCCGTGTGACTGACTCAAAGCTGTTTTAAAACAGCTGCTGTTTTTTTGCAGTGACCCCTCTGGGGAGGTCAGTTTGCTGCTTGGAGAAAAACTTTTCTCAGGCCCTTGTACCTTTTGGCAGCTTGTCTGATGAGGACCAAAGAGGAAGTTAACATCATTCTATAGAAATGGTAGACTAGGGGGGGTGACAAAGCAAAATGAGTCTAGATGGGACTAGAAACCAGTGCTGTATCTGAAAGCAAGATACCTTGGGACTTCATTCTGATCCTGTTGTCTTATCTTAGAACTGAGATGATTATATACTTCATCATGTGAAAGTTCTATGCTCTTTGCTTGACCCAAGATTGACAGTCCTTTTTGATTTCTACTGATAACTGAAAAAACTTCCCCTGGAACACAGATGGTACCATGGCATTTAGGTTCTGTTTTCCTTCACTCGAGATTTGATCTGGTCAATGTATTAACTGCTACCAGTGCAAGATAATATGCAAGCTGAGTTTCAGGCTGGGTGAGCAATAAAAAAAACCCAACAGCATCACATTCAGCAGTTGATGCTACTGGTCAAGTTCTGTTTCTGTTTGCATCTCTTCTGCTGTCAAGCTTAGCATCTTCTGGTGGCTGGTGGTATTATCAACTTCGGAACACAGAGGCTAGCAGTCAGTCTGGATCCAAACAAACAAAAGAAACTTATGTCACATCGCAAAATCTGAGGCTGATAGAGGCAGAAGTATAACTTATCTTTAGAAAAGTTTATCAATATTCTTACTCATCACTGCCTTATCAGAATCTCTTATAAGATAAAGCTACTGGTTTTACAGTGGCAGAGTCCCTGACTAGGAGAAGCATTTTAAGAACCACAAATTCAGACACACATTACTTCATCTGTGGTTTGTTTGCTTTCTGTTTTCTAATGCATTTTACTGGGCGTAGTGCTGAGACTCAAAACCATTAATCCAGAGCATATCTAGAGAACCAAAGGGGAGACTGGAATAGTGTGGATAGATGATAGTTCTTCACCCCTTCTTAGGGCTCTGTCATGTCTAAAAGACAGTAAATCTAGAGGGTGACACCCTAAATAATCTCTCTTGCCTTCAGACTCCAGTGTCCTGGCATGAAGTGGAAGTGGGGAAAGCCAGCTCCAGTACTCATAAGCGTTCTGCATCTTGGGGTAGCACAGATCACCGCAGAGAGGTAAAAACAGACCCCTCCCCACTACTTGGCAACTAACACAATTGCTTGGTATGTAGTGGGCCTGCTGTTTTGAGAAGGTGGGGAGGCAGGGGAGAGGAAGCTGTTGAAATGGAGACACTAGACTTCTCTGTGCACCTCTTAGTTTGAGGACTGTGGAGTCTCAGCCAGTGCTGTCATTTTAGAGAGATTTTTTTGCTGCAAGTCAACTTTGCTCTTCCCCTTGCACCACCCTTATTGGCTAAGCTGGAAGCAAATTCCCCAAGCTGGCTTCTGTTGTGAGGTGTTTCTCTGGAGGGTCTGTGCATCACTCAGAGGTTCCATATGTGTAACAGGAGCCTTTCAGTGTAGGCTCCACTGTGACCTGGTTCAAAGCTGTTATTGTGACTGGCAGACTAATAGCCCACGACTGCTGGGGAGGGAAAGCTGCCTACACCATTCTAAAATGGAGAGGAGCCCATTGCAAAACCCTCAGAATGACTTCCTCCCTACCCTTTGAGAAACAGGCAAGGTTTATTCAAGTTTGGTTAAAAATGGCCCTCTGTCTTGGAACTTCCTGTAGGGAAGGTTGACCTTTTTTTTTTTTTTTCTTTCTTTCTTTTTTATAGCTTGGTATGTTGTTTTCTTGTCTAGTTCTATATCAACTGAATTTTGTTTGCTAGATTGCTAAACTGAAGCAGCAGCTCCAGCGAACTAAGCTAAATGGAAGAAATGGCAAAGAGAAAGAGCGGAGCTCCCCGCTGCAGGGAAATCATGCTGTCCTTGGATCAGTCAGGGTATGTTCCATATCTCCTTTGCCTCCCTCCCAGCCTAGTTTTCCAGTGTGCCCTCAAGGAACTGGAGCTTACTCCTCCTAGCTTATGCTGCTGAATTGATGATCTGTTATCCATGTTGTTGTGCTCTTAAGTTCTCATGTCTAATGTTTAAAAACTGTCATCTTTGCTTGTCCCTGAATGCCTTGGTCAGCAACTGATGCGTTTAATGCAGCCTCCTGTCAAGGCCTTCTCTAATCAGTTAGACTCCTTGAACATCCTTGGCTGAACAAACTTCAGAGTTGTAGGATAAGACTCAGCTGTGCTGGGAAAACTGCAGCAATTTGTTTGGACACAATGGAGCTTAGGATCTGTTTGACTTCCTTGTTACAGGACTCTCCCTCTGGATTCCTGCCTGCCTCTCCTGCTTTGAGGCTTAGCCCCTGCTTACATAGGAGCCTTGAAGGCTTAAACCAGGAGCTGGAGGAGGTGTTTGTGAAGGAACAAGGAGAGGAAGAGCTGCTGAGGGTGAGTGAAGCTGCAAGGGTCAATCACTAACCTGTTGGATGGTCTCTGAAATTTTTACTTCCTGTTTTGATAGGAACGTTTCCATTATCTTCTTTCCTTCTTGGCTCCAATTCCACATAACTACTCTTTTCAAGCTACAATATATTCACAGAATCCTCCCCGAGTTGAGGCAAAAGACAGCTGCCTTTCCTTGCCAAATGCCTCCTCAAAAACCACTTCTGGTGTGACACCTATAAGAAATCAGATAATTATGGCTTGAGGGTATGTGGGCAGAGAAGACTTAGTAGAACCCAGGTGGTTCACAATCTGCTTGGTTCACAAAGAACTGCTGAAGTAAGAACAGGCAACTTGGCTGTTTGCTTTGGCTCTTGCTTCAAAGGGCATTGCTTCTCTATTCTTCTAGAGCACTGTGTGGTCCCAGGCAGCTGTTCCCTGTGGCTATATATACAAGTTACCTTCCACCCCCTTGGTCAGTTTGCAAATTCTCATCTTTGCAAGGGGGTGAGGAGCCTAGACCTATGAGGAATCCTTGTTCTACTGTACTTTGCTTGCAGCTTTAAGGAGCATGTTATGGTACTGTGTAATAGTTGCTTGCACTGCAAATGCAGATGACATGTCCCCTTCAGAGGGGGGAGGGTCATATCTGGGTGTCCAAGGTCTGTTGCAAAAAGAAGCCCCCATTGTAACTGCAGTATCCAGATACTATTGCACTAGCAGTTGAAATATTGCTTAAGATGTGCAGCACTAAACTGGTAGGGAAAGGGGAGTAATTTAAAAGCTAGTAGAGAATTGGCTGCATAATTCAGTACCCTTCCTGAATTCTCAGTGGCTTCACAACCTGCCCATGCCTGGGTATAGTCCTGAAGTCTGTTACTAGGGAAATGGGATTCCTTTGGTTGACTGAGCTCTAATGCTCTTAACTCTTTTGTTTGTGAAAGGGAACTGAGGTTGAGTCCTGTTCCAATGAATATTTATTTTATTTCTAGATCTTGGATGTTCCAGATGGCCATAGAGCCCCTGCCCCTCCCCAGAGAAGTGATGGAGACTTCTCTCTAACTCTGGAGCCCAGCAGTAGCAGCTGCAGCAGCCTTTCTCTTTCCCCCTCTCCTTCTGTGCCCATCCGACCTTCTCCACACACCCCTGCAAGAGTGGCTTCAGAAGAGCTTACTTCTGCAGTGGAAGAGCCACTGCCTGGTCCTAAGGGGAAAGGTAAACTCCTGTAGTTAGGAGGCTAAATAAAGGCCTGCTCTGGATTTTGGACTCGGGGTGGGGACTGGTGGGCAGGGGTGGTAGCACACTAACTCCAATGAATTCTCACAGGTCTCATTCCCTCTAGTGCATGTTTTGGATTGGGCTGCTGTGACACCTTTGAAGCTCTAATAGCATCCTGCGTATGTGCTGGGCTATACTGGAGCTTCAGTAGACCTGCATGCTGCTTTCTGCTGCATTTAGGGAGCCTTTGCATGAAACTGGTGGCTGGGAAGTGAAGGTGGTTCTCAGGCCATAAGTTTAGGGCACCAGTGCAAGTGTGAAGCCTACAGTGGTCTGGGGAAGCTTGTCATGGGTTGATTTGATGTGGCTATGTTGGATCCTTCTAGCATCTTCTCAAAGTCTTCCTTCCCTCTTAGAGGATGGCAGCCCCTCACCAGTCCTGGCCTTTGCCTCATCTCCTCGACCCAACCACAGCTACATGTTTAAGCGGGAGCCACCTGAGGGATGTGAGAAAGTCCGGGCTTTTGAAGAAGCTTTGTAAGTGATGACTGGGATGGTGTGGGGAGGGGGTGCATTACATAAGCCTAGTACCAAGGCAGCATGTTGCAGTGGAACTGCTGCTAGTTGATGGCATGCCTTCTCCCAAAGCTGGGGCACTCTGCTGTCTCTCAATTTTAGAATTGACCAGGAGTGAGGTTGCAGATTTTCTTGGGCCCCCACAGAAAGAGGCTTCTCTTCTGTGTCTGTGCCAAAGCAAAGCTGAGTGCTGTTAAAACGTCAAGAACTTGTCTACAGAGATGTCTTAAAGGCTCCTTTGTCCTTTCCACCACATACCTAAGCACTGTGCTTACATGGCCAGCACAACTTCTTGAATTGTGAGGTTGGCTGTGAGAGAAACGGAATCTGCATTCTCCAGCTCCTACCAGAATGGGGTTCTTTACCATACCTCTGCTACTGGCCCACACTTCCTGTTCAGCCTGCCCCTCTGTTCCCAGTCTCTTGCCTGCTGCGTTTCCACTAGAAGTGAGGGAGGCTTACCAGTGTAGGGGGGGTATCTGGGTCTTATTCAAACAAGAGTCCTGATTTCTCAGCTGCCCATAGCTCTCAGTAACCATTGGCACAATGCTTCCTAGGTGGCTACTGAAAAAAAAACCTGTTTCCCAGGGGTTCATAATGATGAAAATAGTCACCTTTCAAAGGGTTGATACAGGAGAATTTAAACTGGGAACCCTGTCCTCTAAGGAGTTGGCATATTCTAAAGCTAAAATTGCCTTAGCAGCCAGGTGGTGTACCTATTCCTAATCTGGGTCTGTTGTTTCTCTCTCTCCTTCAGGTCCCCCAGTCCCAATCAGAACTTTCTGCCCTCCTGTCCAGATAAGAATAAAGTTCACTTCAACCCAACAGGCTCTGCCTTTTGCCCAGTCAGTCTGGTGAAGCCTCTCTTTCCAAACATGGGTTTTCTGTTCAGAGGCTTCCCAGCTACTTCCAGTCCTGTGCCACAAGGTATGTTTCTTGGGTCACGGAAGGATTCTGCAGCAGATGGCTTTAGCGAGGCCTCTAAATCGCCTCCCCTGAACTTCGAACACTGGAAACGCAACCAGACAGAAGAGAATGTCCTCTTCCACAGCTCCCTCATGGTCTGAAGCCTTTGGGAGGCCTGGCACAACAAAGCGTCTTTGGCTTCTCAGTGCATCTTAACCTGTGGAGACTAGTGCCTTGAAGTTGGAACTTTTTGAAGGCTAAAGGGGCAGCCCTGGGATGGGAAAACCACCACAGGTGTTCTCACTGCAATGGTGAAGACTGCAAAGTACAATGTGCCACAGGACTCTTCACCACTGGGTGGCTCATTTCTTGGAGCCCCCAATACTCAAGCACTTTCCTTTCCTGTGTTGAAAGTCATCGTATCCTCTGTTTTGCTGTCAAAGCACAGCTGGAGCTCTGCTGCTGTGAACAGAATGGAAACTTGAGCTACCTGGCTCTTCCAATGAGGGTCCTTGCTGAAGGGATTTAGATGGCGCTTCCTAGCACTTTTCACCCTCTACAGCTGTCACCAGGACTCCTTGCCCCTCTGCCAAGGTGAGGGAGGTCTGCAGACTGGCTGCTTCTGGGGGAGACTGGAAGAGCTGGGCTTCAGCTGTCTTCAGCTGTCTGAATGTATCTGTACCCTCTAGAAGATGGCTTGAGCCACTTGCAGCCCCCAGGCTTTGACGAGGGGTTTAGAAGTAATGAATTATAGACAGTGCCACTAATGGCCAACCGACCCCTTGAAACAACCACACAGCTTTCAGGAGCATCTTGGAAAGCCTTGCTTCTACAGGGGTAGAGAATGCAGATGAACAGATAGATACCTGCCACTGCACCTTCAGGGACCTGTATACGCAGAAGACCTGCACCCTGGAAAGCTTATTACATGATGGAGAGTGAACAAAGAGGGATTTGCTGAATGGTTTCCTTGTGGGTAGGTGAGGGTCTCCACCTTGTTTCAGGGAAAGGGTGGTGGAAACCAAAATCAGAGCAGCATGCAAATATCTCCGCTCTTGGAAGGTTGCTGCTAGTAGAGATGTTACAGTGCTGCTTTCCAGATGAATGCCCTGGACAATCTGACTGATTTCTGATTTTTGGAGGGAGGGGTGGGTGGGCCAGCTGGAGTTCAGAACAATTTTTGTTTCACTGCAGAAAAATGTGCACAGGTATAAGATTATTGAAACTGTACCTGGGCAGGAGTCTGAGATCCAGCAAGGCTTATCCCAGCACAAAGCCTTACAAGGTGAAACTAACATGGGGAACTTTGGTTGCAATGCCTCTAGAAAACAAAAGTATTTTGATTTGTGTTCTGTTGCTAAGGCTCTGGGTTGTATTGAAGAAGCCTATTTTCTTGTATCTGATGTAGAAACTCTATTTTCTTCCAAAGACACTATTTTTGCAGCTGTTTGAAGTTTGTATTTTATGTATGTATTGCAGAGCTTAAAAGAGGAATGTTAGCCTTGGAGTTCTTGTCTCTTGTTAGAGGGTTTTTTGTTTTTGTTGTTTTGTTTTTCTTTTTGCAGATCCTGGTATTGCCAGTGAGAAAATAAATATTACAGGCATCCAGAATACTTTATCTCTTCCCCCCCCACCACCTTCCTTTGGGGGTTGAGTGTAGTCACTAGAAACTAAAGCTTCTAAAGGCTTTGGCAGACAGCTGCTGCAGCCACGAGTAGGCTGGCTGGATGGCCTGTATCTCCTACTGTAATACTGTCTACCTTAGACCCACTGCTGTGTGTACCGCAAAGGAAGTGGGTTAATACTGTTTGGCCAGTTTGTAGTTGACTTGTGATAGTCCTTGCTCTGGAGATGAGCTTAGACTTGACAGATTTGTGGCCACTACATTATTCTTTCTGAAGTTTAGGATTGGTTGTTCCTAAATTGTAGCCAACTAGGTTCAGCAAGGCTGAGCTCTGCAGCAAGCGTTAAAACCACTTCTCTCTAATGTATTAAAGATGTGCTCATTTTAGCAGTATGAATACAGCTTCTAAATTAGGCCATGGAAAGGAAATGCAGCCGGCTGGAAGGAAAACGCCTACATACATAAACTCTGCTTCATCCTACAGTATGAGCTACAAAACAATCTACTTCACTTTAACCCCTGAGGTTAGTCATTGAATCCTGGTGCTGTAGTGGGGGAGCTCTGCAGGCTTCGATACCAACAGCTTCTTAAAGTACGAGAAAGTCCCTTGGTCAGGTAGAGAACTAAGAAAAGACATTACTGAAGTACAGGTAGAGGGGAAGCTTCAAGCTGGAGTTGCCATTTTGGAGCGCACACATCGGATTTATTAGAAAAAAGCACCAAGCAGGGTGCCAGCTTTTTAATAATCCTTGTCTCTCTGCCCAGCTGCCGTGAAATTGGGATTTCATATTCCAGCAAGCAAATGCTGTCCTACCCGAAGGAGTTCCAAACTGCTCCCAGCTCCTTGGCTGTTGTCACCTTATGAAATGCTCCAAAATTAAGACTTTGAGGGTCTCTCTTGGAAGGGGAAAGATGGGGAAGAGCCTTTAAACTAACATGCTAGATAGCATGCCTAGAAGTAAGATGCATTTTTGAGTACTCTTTTATAAAGTCAATTAGAATACAATTAATGTCTTGCAAATTGCTCCATCCACAGCTCTGCCAATGTCACAACTTGTGATTCCTGCAGGTTCTGGAGGAAAGGCTGTGTGTTGTGTTCTACTGAAGTAGAAATAGCAATTTATGCCTCAGTTTGAAGTACCAGGAAACTTAACTGTACATGTGCTGCCATCTGAAAAGCCTTTATGGGAATGTGACTTTGAACCCATTGTTTACCCTGAAGGGTGTCTATTATGAATCCTTTGGGACTTTGCTCCTGTTCAATGCATAGTATCTTCTTCCTTAAAACAGGAGGAACCTTGGATATTGTGGCCACAGTGAGCTCTCCCTGGGTTATGAATCTGCCATAGTAGCCAGGGAAGCAAAATGGAAAAATCTGGCCTGATGAAACCCTAAGCTTTTCATAAATAGCTATTGTATTCATCTCTCTGCACCCCCTGCTTGCAGCCTGAATGACATACTTCAACCCTCCCCTATGCAGGGTGCAATTAAATCTTGTTGGTAATGCTGTGCTGAAGCACTCCTTCACCAGTCTGCATTCCAGTCAAGTCTGGGATTATTTTAATAAAAACAAAAAACCCTACCATTTGAAAGGGACAGAAACAAGGAGGAATAAAGGCCTACAGAAGAGACCTGCATTTAAAACCAAGGTGCTTTGTTTGGGTTGTCAGAGCTGGCCCTGTTCCTGCAGTATACTCATCAGCTGTAAACTCTACAACCACTTAGCTTGATCATCCCTGCCTCTGACCATAGAGGAGAAGGGGAGGTTTCATGTGCTAGTTTCATACAAAAGCACACAAAGCCTTCTAGTAGCCCAGGGCTGTCTCATAGTAGCTTTTGACATGGTAAAATGTTTAGATTCTGCATACCTATCCAAAAAGATCCGAGCTGAATTGGTTAAGAGTCTTTAAAAGAGGGAGCTATGTTCTGTTCAGACAAGAGATGGTAGTTTTGGATGACTAAAGCAAAAATACTGACTCACATTTTTAGTAGCATCTTATTTCTGGTCTGACTGACAATGGAAATAGAGAGCAATGGGTAGTGGGGATATGCTAGACTAACTTGCAGTCTAGTTGCAATTGTAGAACCAGCATCTTGGAACTGTTAGGAATAGGAACTTGTTTTTGTCTTTTAATGAGTGGAAATAAAGTGCAAGCACTAACTGTCTGTGGTTCGGAGAGGTGGGGAGGGGACACGGGGGACAGGCAACATTTCAAAAGCATTTGCTGCAACCATATTTCCACCCTGCTTTGCTGTAAAAAAAAAAACAAAACAAAAAACATTATAATGGAGTCCCTTTGGTTGTTTGGCTAGGCCCAGAAGCTAGAAGGCCAGACTAAATTAAAGGAATCCTGTTGGTACCAAAATAACAAAGCAGTTTCCCTTTATTATTAGCAGAATTTTATAAATATGCCTTCCACACCCACAGCCTATTCATCTTGGATAATGAAAATATTCTGGTCAGTGTAACTTGCTGATTCTTGCATGGTAGCACAGTGCTGCACTGTTTGGGTTGCAAACACAGAAAGGAATGTTTATATTTAAACACATTTTTCATTGGGTTTAAACTTATGGAGCCAATGCTGCTCCTGAATTTGGTAATGCGATGCTATTTACAAACCATAAAAGTTAGATCTAAACCAGCCAGCCTTGTGCTGCTTTAATAAACAGCATGACCACACTGACCAATCAAAGGAAGCCTATTCAGACTCCATGCATGCTGTTTTGGAGTCTGTGTTCCTTCCAAATATGCACATGGGGATCTAGGCTTAAAAAGGCAAACCCATTCTCAGCTGCAGACAGTATTAAAAATGCAGTGTTTTTCTAGATGGGAGAGCTGCAGGCCTGGGGGAGGTCAGCATTCTTGCCATGCAGCAAGGGCAGTGCAGATTAGAGGGTTTGCTATAATTACCCTTTATAAACAAGTAGTTGAATGTGCAAGTTGGCAAGACACCAGTCCCAGGAAACTACTGAAATGGCTTCTGAAAGTCTGCCTTGGAGCTGAATGTCTGCAGAACAACCCCAGACAGCCTCTGCTGCACACAGGTAAGGCACCCCCTGCTTATGGGCCAAACTGCATTTCATGGGAGGAACCACAGCTTAACTAAGAGTGGTGGCAGGTCTGTGGGGAGGGGAGATGCCTGTTGGATGTGGGGGGTTTTTTTAACAAAAGGTGGAGGGGAGGAAATCTCTTTTCCCTCCCCCATGTGCATGTGAAAGCAAGCAGAGGCAGATGTGCTCTTTCCAAAGCAGGAGGAAGGAGCCAGCTGAAAGCTAGTGAAATTTTAGACTGTGTTGATTATACTTGGAGGTGGCAGGGAGGGGGTAACTCCTCCCTGGGCAAGAGGCCAAGGGTGGGGAAGGTGATCCTACCCTGGCGCTGTCGGAGGGATGAACATGCAGGATGAGACAGTTGTCAGCTGTTGTAAGGTAGAGCTGCAGCAACTAGGCTTTATGGACAGCTAAAGAACAGGCTGCGTTGGGAACCCTTCTACCACCCCGTCTACAAATCGTAGAACTGGCGTGGTGCCTGCTGCTGGGGCTATTTTCCAGGGCTGCCTTCTGCCTATTTTGTGGTCCTGATATAACCATGAACCTCCCCTATAGCTTAAAGCAATCAGGGTTTTTAGTAGAGATGATATCTTTTATTAGACCAACAATTTTTTTGCAAGCTTTTGGGTACAAACACCCTTCATCAGGCATCAGAGAAAAGATAGTAAAAGTTCGCCTGGGTAGAAACGAAAATTCCTTTTATCATAGGATTTCACAGAGGAGTCAATAGGTGGAAAGTTCCTCTGGGCAGGCAGTTCACAGCTGGTATGATGAAGTGTTTGTGCCTGAAAGCTTGCCATTAAAAAATATTTTTAAAAAAAATCCTGTTGGTTTAATAAAAGATGCTTTTTCCTCGACACTCATATGGCTACAACCCGGAGTCCTGTTTTTAAAGCTCAGGGTCACCACTTGCCTCTAGTTCCTTTCCAACACAATCTAGCGGCCTGTTCCTAGCAGTAAGGACCAGCGCCACCTCTCGGGCGGACTCGGCACGGCTGCACACCAGCTGGCAGGGCTGCTGCTCTATGTCTCGGGGCACGTTTCAGTTTTTAAAGGGGTGTGGGAGCGACTGGTACTGCTCTGGGCTTTGCCCTTACTCATCCCTCAATTTGCATGAGTTGGGCCGGTCTCTCTGTTCCTCCTGCGGTCTCTTTCCACCCGCCCCCCCGCTCCCTTCCAGCACAGCCACGACCAGGGTGCCGCACGCAGCTACTCAAGCGGTGACCCGGGCTGTAGCTCAGGGCAGGCCCTAGCCCGTGACCCCGCAACCCCCGCGGGGCGGGGCCGGGCCGGACCGAGACGTCACGCCACTGGAATAGTGCGCCCCGGCTGCCGCTGCAAGGCGCATGCGCGCGGCAGCTCTTGTCCCTGCAGTTAGGGTGAGAACAGCTGGCTTCAATGGAATGCAAGCCCCCGACTACGCCCCGCCTCCTAACTGCGGAGCCAATCCGCATCCTACACATTGGGAAACCTAAAGACTAGGCGCCGGGGGTGAGGAAGGCCGCCGCGTTGGGGAAGTCCGCGCCGGTGCCTGGCCACAAAGCGGCTGCACGGTGGCGCCGCGCCGGCCCAAAAAGAAGTGAGGCCGGTATCCGGCCCAAAGCGAGCGGTGGAGCCTTGCTGGCTCACGCCGCGGCTCCAGTTCTTCCCTGCCTGGCTTCGCTTTTGCCGCCGCAGGTCTGGCGATGCCGAGGGCAGCCCGCACCCGGCTCCGGCGGGCCCTCGGGGCGGCAGCGAGGCGCGGGCCGCCTGCATGAGGCCCCCTGCG